AAACTGTATGAGCAAGACAAAACACCATCAATAGCTAGGAAAACCATGAAGAGATGGGGGCATCACTTTGTTGTTGTTTTAGCAAATCTTTAGCTGAAGCAGTACGAAACTGCACTATCGAGGGATGTTTCCGAATTGTTTTTGACCGAAAAAGATCTTAACGGAAAATGTCCCGAGCGCAATACGAAAGTCACGTACAGGTCAAAAGCTGTAGAATGTGAAGGCTGTTTGAACTGGTATCACTTGAAATGCGGTGATATATCAGATGATGAGTATCGAAATATAAATAAGTCAGTGCAGCAAGCTAAGTTATTTCTCCGTTATAGTGAGAACAGTGAAGGGTGATCCTGAAAAAGTGCTATCGGCTGCAATATTACTACATCGAAACTTACAGTTCACAATAGAGACATCAAACAGAAACGGGAAATTGGCATTTTTGTATTTACAAATTTTTATTGACAAAAGCAAGAAAATAACTGTGGTTGGTATCAAAAACCAAAAAATACAGGTACCATACTAAATTTGAGAAGCTGCGCCGCCCCTTCATTTCAAGAGAATTGTGATTGAAGGAACTGTTCACCGGATTTTCCACAGAAGGTCAACATGGGAAGAATATGATAAAGCGATAAACATCAACCGTGGACAGTGGTTGGATAACCAATATCCGGAAAGTCGGTCGTCGCGGGTTGCATCCGATGCCCTTTAAAAGATCATCAGGGAGGACAAAAACAAAAAAAACATGGCAGACAAAAAGAACCCCTGTGACTATAGCAGTGATTCACCAACCATCTTGATGGTCCAATATAGGGGAATCACAGTCAGACTTTAGCAAAATAAGATCGTGATATCACCAATGCGCAGATAAAATTCACGAGGAGGAAAGTGAATACTTGTATGCCCTCTCTTAAGTCCTCCTTTTCCAGTGAACTGATATCAAAAGTGGTTTACAGATTTGACTGTTGTGTGTGCAAATCCATCTATGTTGGCCAGACGGTCCGACATCTCACCACAAGGATTGAGGAACACCGAAAAGAGGATACCCCAGTTGGACAGCATACATCAGTGTGGTAGTGAGAGTGGTAAGTCGGTATTTAACTGAGAGATAATCCACCAGGCGTCCAGCAGCATCAATTTACTTACATTAGAGGCGCTGCGCATTAGGAATGAGAGACCTGAAATTAACACGCGCGACGAGTTTAGAAGTAGGAAGCTGACACTAAGGCTATAGTTCCAGTATCGAAAAATTCTGGCTAAAACAAAAATATTGAAATAATTTACATGTTAGCATGAAAATTAGCGACAAAACGAAATTGTAAAAACAAAAAAGGTGAAAACTCTCAGAAGTTTTTTAAATAATATTTAAAATTGTTCATAATATTTGTTACATAATTTCAGTAATACTTGTAAAGTTTTGATTGGTTGAATTTTTTAAATTTTGAAATAATGATGTGTATGACATTTTTTATGATCTTTGATCATTTCTTACATATCGTTTAGACTTTTTAAAGCATGAAAAAAAAATGTGCGAATGTGTTTGTTTGAGTTTACAATTTTAATGCATTCTCAAAATATCCTATTTTTGGTGTTCCTCAATCCTTAGTGTGAGATGTCCGACTGTTTGGCCAACATAGATGGTTTTTCAATCACAAAACAATAGTCTGAAAACCAATTTCGATTTCAGTTCACTAAAAAGGAGCATTTTAACGAGGGTTTATAAATTTTTCATTTTCCATGTCGTGAGTTTGATATTGCGCATTGGTGATATCGTGCACTTTTTTTGCTAATTTCTGACTGCGATTCCTCCGATATTATTTCATTAAGATGGGTTGTGACTCGTTACTATAATCACGTTACTATAATCACCAATTGTATGTGATTTATTGTAAATAACTTTTGTAAATTGATGTTTTATCGTCCTTTAGAGTAGTTTTTTTTTTTAAATCCTGACGATGCACATACTTGCGAAAACGTTTGAAATTTACTTTTTAGCAAAAATTTCTATAATCACAGGGTTCCCTTGCTTAACCAGCTTCGTTTTGTTTTTGCTCTCCGCGATTACCTTTCCAAGGGCTCGCGATAAAACGCGCGACTGTCAACTTTCTGGATATTGGTTATCAACCACTGCTCAGGTCGATTTACATCGTTTCATCAAACCTTTTCCATATGGACGTACTGTGGAAAACCCGGTGAACGGTTCCTTCGAAAAAACTATATTGTACTGAAGGGGGTTGTTACTTGCAAAAATTACTATGATACCTGTATCTCCTGGTTTCTGACACCATCCACTGCTAACCTTCCTGCTTTTGTCGATATCAATTTGTAGATCAAAAAAGCCAGCTTTCCGGGTGCGTTCGGTGCATCTAAGATGAACGAAAATTATGAATGTACGGTGTTGCCACGCGGTCAGGGTTATGTCAGGGCGAAGAAAAACTTGTCAAGGCCGTGTCAGGGCGAGCAAAGTTGTGTCAGGGCCAGAAACGTGAAAGCGTTGCTGGCCTTAGTGTTTTTTTCAAAGTCTTACATGAGATGTTTATTAAGCGTTTAGCTGTAATTTTTCAGGGGTATGAGTCGCGAATGTTCAGTCAAAGGAAGACGTGAGTTCAATGAAGACTGACTTCAAAATGGTGAATTTAGCTTGTGGGTTACTAAATCAGCAACTGAACGCGAGTTCAGGTGTTCTTTGTAAGAACTAATACACGCTGGGCAACATGGTTATTTAAGTTCTATGACAGATTTTTTTTTGCAATTTTGAGACTAATTGTCAGGGACTGAGCTTCAAATTCGTCAGGGCAGTGGTCAGGGCTGTCAGTGCGACAGTTAAATTATACCGCGTGGCAACTTTTATTTAGTAAGTTTGCTGCACGCAGCACCTCTTCAGGATTACCCTTCATTGTTCTCAAGTTATCATCAGCGTAACGGAGAAAAATTTCAGCTGCTGCAATGAGTTATTTTTCTCCATTATCGCGATGCATTTTTTTTTTTTTTACTTTGGTTTGCATTGTTATCAAACAAATTACTTCAGATCAATGCTGATGATGTCTTCTTGACGAAAGCGCTTCAATTTTTATATGGTACGTTGTTATCTTATTTCTAACTTTCACAGTACGAGACCGTTTCACTTTTTTTTCCGTTTCACTTTTTTTCGATATATCTCCGCGTTGGTGAGTACCCACGGAGCTGCATTCCCGGATAGCCGAAGAAAACCAAATACGGTTTCAATTAAATTAAATCAGAAAACTTGTCACTAAATTGTGACCCATTTTGATTGGACAAAAAATTGTCTCAAAGTTTTTCAGCATGTTAGCTAACAAAATTCCGAACGTTTTTAAGAGATTTGATTGGCGAATACTTTTACTTTCATTAAGTTAAATAACAATAAAAGCCCGGCTACTACATGGATTTGACCCCGTTACCAACCAGGAGGGTCCCTCTTTGGTACTTTTAAATTTTTATGACATCCATTTTCGGCCGACAAACCGTAAAAGTTTTCAATATATACTAGTTTCTGTTTTTTTTAAAATATTTTTTCTTAAATATTTTTATAGTCGAATATATTTTTCGGCTATCCGGGAACGAATTTGTTTTTCGGCTATCCGGGTGTTTAGCTCCGTGACACGCCACCACCGCGTTTTACGTGATACCAATTGAAACAGCATTATCTTGATTTGTTATACTTTTTGTTTTGCCCTGATTTTCAAAAATTCCAAATGTTCTTACTAGCGTTTTTGACTGGGCTGTGATGAAGGACGAGTGAAGCAGCTTCGGTGAATATCATGTTTTTGACCGTCAGACTATTCAAAAGGAAAAATAGAAAAAAGAAGTTAGTCTCTCCTGAAAAAAAAAACTTTTTGGAATCCGATCAGAGTCATCCCTGAAAAGTATAACTGGTCAATCGAACTCATCCAAAGTTTTTTATGGTACCTGGGCCGGATGAAAAACATTGCTCGAAAATGTTTGGAACTAAAATGTTTTTCTTGATTAAAAAATTTTCTTTTGAATATTAATTGCTCTAACTGTAGTTGATTTAACTATAGTTGTTCTGTGTTTACTATCGCAAATTTTGACCGAATTAAATATGCTTCAGAGTCAATAGAGAAAAAATTGGCGAAAAAAAAGTATTTTGTTTTTGACAAATGTTGCTAATTTTCAACGACATTCGGAATTGTTTTCTGTCAGAAATAGTTTCATTTCAGTTTTTGTATTTGACGGCAAAGAAGTTAGACACAATCCTTGCCTTTTTCATACCACAACGTCATTGTTTTAATAGCTAGAACTGATAAGCAATATTTGCTTTTTATGTTTTGGCCTTCAATTAAAATAAATATTTTCAAAAACGCACAACGCAATTGTTTTCAGACAGTTAATTTCGAGACGCGGGAGGTACATTTTTTATTTGTCAGCACATTTGCAAGACATTGTTGGCTAATAAACTATACACATGCTATCTTTGTATGTGAAACTAAATTACCCTTGTATATGGAGGCTAAATTCCAAACCCTTCTTATCGTAACGCTGACCCCCTGTCTATTTATAGATTGGTAATGATCCGAATTCCTCTATGACTACAAACCCAGCTAGAAAAAACATGTTATGGAAACATGTTCTCGCCAAAACTCAGTCGCTAAACTATGCGAGAGCGGGAAAATCAAATAGATAGATATATAACTAATCTAGTTTCTACCTATCCACCATGCAGGTAATACTACTATCTAACTTCTAAGTTTTCATTTTTCACACCCCTCTAAAATCCATTTAAAGTATGAAAGGAAAGTATAATACAATTCCTTTGCCCTACGCTTGGTTTTGTTTACAAAACGAAGGCCAGATATAAACAAACCTACCAAAGCAGCGGTAGAGATCGTTATATAAGCACATTGGTTTAGTTAAATGTTTCCCAAAACGCTAGGCACGCCATTGTTTTACCACTTATCGTGTTATCTTGGGCTTTAAACCACTGGTATAATGGTAAAATTTAGAGGACTCGAGGATTTATTCACGGGGTAGTGGTTCCAAATCCCTTTTATCGCAGTATAAACAACTTCTTAAAGTAAAGTTCCCGATTTTAATTTGGGTTTTATTCTGGGAAGTTATAGCAGTGTAGGGTCGGCTTCCGTTTGTTCCTTTTTCTTGGTTATAAGAATTCCCTAGTTTCGGGTTAAGTCAGATTGTCCTTCCGAAATTTGTCCAGATCGTCGGTCACGATTATATACTAAACAAAATCCCCTAGTTATTAATATTATTCAGAAAAACAGGAAGTGTAACTACTATTAAACATGGACAAATTGTCTGAGTCTGATATGAACGAGTACCGAGATGCGTTCACGCTGTTCGACACTAAGTTCGAGGGAGTCATTCCGGCGATTGAAGTGGGAAACCTATGCAGGGCTCTGGGCATCAACCCAAAACAGTCGGATGTGAAGAAACTGACAGGTAGAAATTATTTTTTGAATAGTATATTCATCAAATTGAATAGATCAAATACTCATTCAATATCAAAGAAATAGAAAATTTAGTGAAAAATTATGTAATCATCATGGTTAAAGAAGAAAAAATACTTCTAGCTGGGCTGGCTGTGTCTCTGGTAGTTGCCATCACTCAGGCGGCAATCCACTCAATTTAAATGGAAAATTTTAATTTAAATAGCAATTTAAATTGAAAAATGTTTAAATTGCCTGGCTCCGACGCCAAAATACACATTTAACTTATCTCAATCATTTTATTATTTCAGAATTCCGCGGAAGTCAATAATCTGAGTCTTCACGACAAAATTACTAAAATTTAGTTGCAACTGCACGAAAACTTTTATCAGCTATCAAATTACAATTAGATGCTTTTTAGCTGATATTTACAATTTAAGAGTTAAAGTTACTCTAACAATCGAATAGTTTTAATTTCCTAAGCAGCTATCTACGAATTTGACATTTTTGGTACCTAGAAAGTTTTTTTGAAACAAATTGAATTTTTTTACTTTTTGAACCAAAAGCTGGTGGTTTGATCCTTTTGAAAAATTGTACGCTCCTTTTTAAAAAATTTGCATATAAGAAAGTGTGTGATTAGGCGTTGGCGTTACTGTAGTGCTATCTGAATTTAGGGCTGGATTCTGACCCGAACAAGAAGATTAAGTTCGACGAGTTTGTTCCCATTTTCCTCGACCTGCAGAAGATGAAGGACGACCACAAAGTACCTGACTACGTAGAAGCTTTCAAGGTCAGTATCAAATTAACCATTCAAATCAGCTCAATCTTAATATGAGATCCAAATTGTTGTTGGCAATAACGGTAAAATTCACCTGGTTAAAAGTTGTCAAAGAATTTTAAAGGGTAATTGTTTTGAGATTTCGACACGAGAACGGTGTGGCGAAACTTCTCACGTCGACGCTCAATCTCATTAAGGTTTGGAGGTTCAATTCAGTGTTTTCTTCTGGTTCCTTGATCTCATCGACTCTTATCTCACTGTCTGTTGGCTATGTTTTATCTGCTCAACTCACGTGGCTTTAACCGAATAACTTAGCGATTTATGAGGAATGTCCATTAAAAAATAATTTAAGTTATTTAATAGTAAATTATGAATCCACTCAATTTAAATGAAAAATTTTATTTTAAATAGCAATTTAAATTGAAAAATGTTTAAATTGCCTGGCTCCGACGCCAAAATACACATTTAACTTATCTCAATCATTTTATTATTTCAGAATTCCGCGGAAGTCAATAATCTGAGTCTTCACGACAAAATTACGTTGCAAATAGACTTGCCCGAAAAATTGTTTTCGATTTCTTCGTTCAAAATTACCAAAACTACACGAAAACTTAACAAAAAAACTGCTAAAAAATTTTTTAACAATTTTTTATGATTTTCTTGAGCAATTTCAATTTAAATTTATGTTTTTTGAAATGGACATCATTGTTGAAAGGAGATATAATCTCTGCTCCTGATTAATTATTGATCATTTCAAATTAATCTCTTGTTACTTCAGTCGCTGTGTGACAATGAGAACTGCGGGAAGGCAGATATGGCTGTGTTCAAGAACATGTTGGTGAAATTGGGGGAGAAACTGGAGCCTGACTTCGTGGAAATGGCCATGAAGGGATTCGAGCCGGACGAGGACGGAAAAATCAAGTCAGTTCGACAGAATACCTGTTTTTTTAAAATCGCATTGCGTTACAAGAATTTTTTTGTGTGTGCGCGGTGAGACAATAGAAACTAGACATCTTTGCGTACAGGGCTAAAAAAAAAATCATGCATTTTGATCGTAAATTTTTTGTTTGCACGGAAACAATCTGCTCTTGCTTTGCTTTTTTAAGCTTTTTCAACTGGGATTAAATTATTTGCGTTTTTTTAGTTTTGATTCGATTTCTCTAGGAACAAGATAACCAATTCTTAATGGCAGTTTCTGGTTAGTGTTTTTGTACAATTAAACAAATTTTTTTCCATAGGTACATCGACTTCATCAAGAAGGTCATGGAGGAAGCCAAGAACTAAACTGATGAAGAGAAAATGAACAACTTTAGATCTTGGTGGGTCATGTGATCAAATTCGATTGCCTCATTCTAATTGAACTTTTAATTCATCTAATTGAATGGAAAAGTTAATCAGATCCGAACAAAAAGAAAGACGAGGATGTGTCGTGTTTGATACATGACCCATCAATTTTATCAACTGAGTCGCCGCCCTATATCTGCTTTTCAATGTGTTTTATTATATATTCTAAATTACTAACCAAAATTCACTCTTGCCTCAGAGTAACACTCTGTTTTCTTTAAGTTGCAGCAATGTTTTGTAGGTAAAAAGTTAGTGTCGATGACGGGTGCCGGACATCAAGCCGACGGGACTTCAAGCCGAATCGTAAAATTAGGGACTTCAAGCCGAAATTTTTCTCATTAAGTCATGAAATAAGGTTAATTTGAAAATTTTTTTGAAGAATTTCTCAATTTCATGATCTTTATTCGGTACTTATTAGCGTTTTCATCAAATTTAAGCCTCTAAATGATGTTTCGGAAAAATGAAAAATAAAACATGGTTGAAGACATTTCCCACGTTTATAATTTATGCATTTCAAAACCGGCTGATGTTATTAACGGATGCCCATCACAAGTGGTGCTTTGTCATAAATAATGCTTATTATGGACTGAACTAGCCTAAGATTTTGAAAAGCAACATTTTACAGATGAAAAAATAGTGTTTTGAGGTGCTTGTAAAGTTTAATTTTCGGCCTGAAGTCCCTTCGGCTTGAAGTCCCGTCGGCTTGTTGTCCTAGACCCGTCGATGACATGTCATGCAATTCATCCCGATTTATAATTTTTTAAATAAAGGATGTTAACTACATAAGGCGGATGGGTCAATGGGAGAAACTATTGACTCGTTATCTGGAGGTCCTTGGGTTCTATTCCCTTAGTCAACTATTTCGCCTTCATTGCTTATTATCTTTCAAAACAAAAGCTCAAATTTATCTTTTCGGCGTTTAAGTTTTGATTGCAGTCACCTCGATTTCCTTTTCCAAATGAAAGTAATTTATTCTTAAAAAATTAATTGACGCCAAATTATGTATTATTTTCGTTGTTAAAAATGGATTTGAGGAACGAAGTGAAAAAACATGTATTTCTTGTTAGTTTTTTGTCATTTTGCAGATTGGCGTTTTTGAACTATCAGCAATGAACAAAATTTAAATATTGAGCAAGTTTCTCACATTGGCGTAACAGGCAATTAAGTAGCAATGATAGATTCTGGATGTTTGAAGACATTTAAGGTGCTCAAGTTTGATAAAGTGTCAATGAACGTACTGAAGACTCCTTTATAGGCCGTTATGATTTGATTTTTATTTTCAGGAAAGGGTTTTAAGGTGGTTCGCGCTCAAGTTATACTTTCCGCGGTATGACTTTGATTTAATTTCATTTGTTTATTTATAGAAGGCAATCTGCACTATCGAAAAAAAAGGTAAAGGTCGCAAAGAACGTTTCTTAAAAGACTGATTTCGCTTTTGAGATTTTGCAGCGAAAAAAATTACATTTGGGCCAATTTTCTCAAAATTATTTAGTTTTATCTAAAATAATCTAACAGTAAATGTTCTTAAAAATCAAAGAGCTTTTTTCTCATTTTAATATTCAAATTTTTTTCAAAATACAGGTGTTTTTTGGCTTTTTGCTTTCATTGAGATTTTTCCAACTATGGTTGCTATGCCTTTTATTATACCGACAATATGAATAAAACTTGAAAACTTAAATGTGTTGTTCTTGAATTGGACTGATTTTGCACAGAAAAAAAAAGAAGAAATAAACGATGCGTAAGTTTTTCAGGTTCAATTTGGAGCGTTTTTTTTTTCAACTGAAAAATCGGGCCCGGAAGTTTAACCGAGACAGATCATTTTTTGGTTTTTTCTGGCCAATCATAATTTACGCCGGAAGTACCAATTGAATTTCTAACAAAGATAACTCAAAGTGAGTTCTTTAGGCATCTCAGAAAACTGATAAAAAGTATGAACATCTCATTTGTTTGATAAATAAATTAACTGTCGTTTTATAAAAAAAAATTTTTCAATTAAAAACACTAACTTGCATGTCAAAACTATTTGTGAAGTTTTTGTAGGTCATACTTTCTTAAACATTGTTAAGCAGTATATGAGGCTGACTTAAATAAATATATAAAAGCAGTTGATTTTGTAATTTTGTTTGACCGAAAAATAAAGGACTCCATAAAATACACCATTCTAAATCTGAATCACCATATAAAAATAACCACTTTTGACTACTTTTTTTATGTCGACCAGATAGATCAAAAAGACCGCTTCCATACAGACATCACTTTTAAAACTTTAAACCAAAAATTGCGCTCATTAAATTCAATATACATTAGCGACTAGTAGAAAAGCAAGAGGTTAAAGGAATGCTTGGCCAAAAAGGCTCTCATCAACAGTGCGATAGGTAAGAGTTTTACAATCGCTTAGTAGACTTTTTCTCCCGTAAACAACTTTGTGCACAGATTGATCAAATGGTAATTAGAACATTTCATACCCGCTACCTACATGTTTAGCGCACCGCTGTAGTGCTATTTAATAGAATGGTTAATGTAATGGCGAAATATATGCCGCTTACGTAAATATGGTAAATTATTTTTTCGGAATTCAATTTTTTGGTAGATTTTTGGCAGAGGTCAATCGCCTTTGAGTCTGTCGGCTTATTTTTCTAATGTATTTATTCTAATGTTTTTTGTTGTTCAATGTAGCGTTCGAAGTCAAATAAAAAAATTTTGAAAAATCTTATTTACCCTTTCAAGCTGGAATAAGATCTGTAATAAATTGATTTTTCTCGTTTTTTTTTCCATATCATGCCAATTTTTGTCGATTTACTTGCCGGGTGTTCCATTTCGGTATTTTGTCAAGTTTTTTTAAACTTTTTCGTTATACTCTAGAACGAAAATTTATTACCTGTTTTTTTAATTGCCAGAAAAGAAAAAAACTGAAATAAAAAAAGTGGTAAAAAAACTGTTTTTTTTTAATGCGGGGTTTCTGACTTTTTAACTCAAAAAGTACGTGGACAGTTTTAGTGTCTTTTAGGATTGAGCATTTTTAAATGAAAATGATGATTCAAGTTGATGACATAGCGTATTCTTCAAAAAATCAAAAAATAATTGAAAGTTTTCCAGAATGTTTTTTTTTGCAATTTTGTCTTGATTGGTTTTGTCTTCGAAGAAATATGGCAAGTTTTGCTGAGATTCAGGAATCTGGTTCTTTCAGGCTGAAAATTTTAAATTCAATTTAAAATTTTTAACCGTTTGCATATGATCATCTTTTTTTGTTGTGATTCTCCAGCTCTCTTAAGGTTGCCTATCGACTTCATTTTCGATAAATGTGATGTAATTGCCGGGTGTTTGAAAATTTTCCAGAATGTTTTTTTTGCAGTTTTGTCTTGATTGGTTTTGTCTTCGAAAGTATATGGCAAGTTTTGCTGAGATTCAGGAATCTGGTTCTTTCAGGCTGAAAATTTTGAATTCAATTTAAAATTTTTAACCATTTGCATCTGATCATCTTTTTTTGTTGTGATTCTCCAGCTCTCTTAAGTTGCCTATCGACTTCATTTTCGATAAATTTGATGTAATTGCCGGGTGTTTGAAAGTTTTCCAGGTGTTTTTTTGCAATTTTGTCTTGATTGGTTTTGTCTTCGAAGGTATATGGCAAGTTTTGCTGAGATTCAGGAATCTGGTTCTTTCAGGCTGAAAGTTTTAAATTCAATTTAAAATTTTTAACCGTTTGCATGTGATCTTCTTTTTTTGTTGTGATTCTCCAGCTCTCTTAAGGTTGCCTATCGACTTCATGTTCGATAAATTTGATGTAATTGGGTTTTTGTATTTCGTAATTTTTTTAAAAAAAGTTTTTCAATTTGATCTCAGTTTTTAGCAATCAACGGACATGGCCTTTTCGTAATTTTAATTACTCTCGCAAGATTTTTCACGAGGAAAAATTAAAGCTAAGTTTCATCGTTGGAGTTTGTGTAGCCCGAATCCTTCTCATTCTGCAGTTAATTGGTTTTTTAATGCAGTAACATTTTCTTGCTTTTTCAAGCTTGCGATTTCTCTATCAGAATTCATTCCAGTTTCAGACACATTATCTTTTGTTATTTCTATTTCTTTTGTATCGCAAGTGGCGCAAAGCTCAGCTTCGCCTCTGTAAAATAGCACCAAGTGTTGAACCCTTTGGTTGGTGAGGGGGCAGGGTTGCAATGTTTAAAACATGTCTTGTTTAAAACATGTTTAAAACACGTTTAAAACAGTGTTTAAAACACTGAATAATTTAGTGTTTAAAACAACTTCCCTTGATTGACAGACTTTCTTGTGTGCTTGGAATAACTGAACTGTATTCTGGAAAAACCTCCTCGATGGATTTTGTGAACGAGGTATCGAACGACGCGAATGGCTCAAAAGTGTCGAGAAACGTTAAAAATCTTTTATTCTGGAGTCTTGATTTGCTGCGTTTTTTTGTATCCGACTTTTTCGGAGACAATCCCACTGAGAAGAAAAAGGAAAGAGCACTTAATTTGGAAAAGTATGGTGCACAGACTGCTTATAAATTCACTTTTTTTGTTTAAAACATGTTTAAAACGTTTTAAACGTTTAAAACGTTTTTATTACTCGAAAAAAATTTTTTTTTGAAACCCTGTGAGGGAGTCGAATCCCGAGGCAAGGGCGTACCTTACCCCCTGAATCCGTTTTTTGCTTAACGCAAAAAAAATCAAAATAGTGGTTTTTTTATCTAAAAAATTTCAACCATAAGCAAATCATTTGACTAGGTTTTTTTTTATTTTAAAGAAAAATTGTATATATTGTCGCCTTGTGCAAATCGTTTGCTGACCCTCTAGATTATCAAAAAACATTGGTCGAATGAGACCATTCATACGTCTTAAGTATGATAGGACGTTGAGCAACATACGACGATTGTTTGCGGTACTTGATTTTGAGAGAAAAATATCTTCTCATCAACTCAAACGAGTTCGATTTGATTGAAAATGACATCAGGGTAAATTTAATTCAAATGCCACTGCTTGAGTTTTGTTTGACATCTTCAGGAAATGAAATAAAATGGTAAGGAATTAAACTTAGGGTTGACTTGGTTTGCTCTGGTTTTACTGAGCATGTTTTTTCATAGTAGCGTACCGCACTCATTCAAAATCTTGAATAGAACAATCATCCAATGTATGGTGCTTGAAGTTTGTGAGACACTCATTTTTGATTTTTTTAATATAGCGTGTATTCAAGAGCCAGCGCAGGGATGAGTTATGGGACGAACAAAAAGGATAAATTTGGCGAATTTCAGTCTAAAGACTGTGAGGACGCGTTTGATATTTCAACTTTTAAGCACCATATCCACTACCTTCTCCCATTCTCTTTAATCGGACAATTCAAGGGGTCAGACATGCTTTTCACTCAATTGCTCTGCAAAGTTGCTTGAATTCGCGTAACAAGAAATTTGAAGATAAACATTAAAAAATTCTCCTCTAAACAATCATGAAAAAGTATTTTCAGTGATGAAATTGACTGAAGTTCCTTAAAACTATTCAAGTTTTTTTGTTTAAACGGTTTGACAGTGCAATTGTGTTTTGATTAGGATGCTGAATGAATATATTAATGATTTTTAGATTCAACATTAGAACCCTAGCCGAATGATTTTTCAAAAAAAAAGTGTGACCGACTCATCACCTGCAAAATTTTCAAATCATTTTCGTTTTGATTCAACATTTTTTCTTACTTAAGCAGAAAAAAAACTGCCAAATTTTTGTGTTTTTTGTGTTTGTCCGGAAACTGAATTGGTGATTACGGGAGTAGGAGAGAGAGGAGATTGGCGAATTGATGATATCTCAGTTTTGCTGCTGTGACCTTGACTTATCCATGCCTCCTCCCTCGTGACCTTGGCTCTGACTGTTCTTGTTTTTAGAGGAGCTGACTTTCTTCTTCACTATCTGTTTGCACGTGGATGCAGCATAGAGTGCCTCTCTGAATACTGGCCCACTCAGGATGTAGAAGAACAGGTTCAGTGAGTTCTGCAGCACTAGAGCCCCATCCCCTAAAAATACATCATCATCAGATTCGTAGTCACAAATCGGGATGTTGAGGCGCTCATTTTGTTTTGCTTATCGAAAAAAGTTGTTTGTTCCGGCTTAGGATGTTTTTGTAGGTTGCATCAAGAAAATCTCGTAAAGCACTAGCTTAATTAAACGTGTTGGCTTACTTATACTGCTATAAGTCTGTTTCTCTTCGAATTGAAAGATGGAATAATTTAAATGTAGAAATTAAATGAAAGTTTGGTTATACGCTTTAAGTAGCGCTTATTGTAATATCTGCAGCTTTAACTTCGTACCTAAGTTGGTGGCCCATTGGTAGTCGCCGGCAGAGTGTAGAGCAGAGCCCACTACATTGGTGGAGCCCAGAATGACATAGGACATAACCAGCGCCATGATCATCCTTCGAAACCCAGCCTCCGTCCTCAGTCGCTCAGAGGAGCTGCGCTTGCTGCGCTCGACTGAACATTTTGAATCGAATTAACATTCACCACACTGTTGAGCTGGCATCAAAAACGCTTAACTCTGTCGCGTTTACAATAATCATATATGAAGGCTTGCAATTAGAAACCTAGAACCAAGTCAATGTACTCCCCAAAACGCTTTATGGAACGTTAATTGGGTCGGAAACTATTTTTTTAAAGATTCTTGAACAGTAGAAAACTAAATGAAGGGGACTTCGAATTTAGCTTATGGGCACACCTGATTTTTTTTTTTGAGTTTCTCAAGAGCATTTATAAATCATGAAACCAAAGTGTTTTAGCAATAAACACAGAAGTTTGCAGTCAACTAAAACAAAAGAAACGATGCCCGGGTTGACCTCCATAGACCGAAAATGCCACTCATACAATTCCATAAACTAAGTCTATGAAAAAAACTGATCATACAAATTTCATAAGTTTTGCTAAAATGGGGTCATCGAATTGTCGAAGAACTTGTGTTCTAGTTTTGGCATTTAAGTTGGTGTATCTTCCGCCATAAATAAAAAAGAACTTTCTTTTTCATAAAACGCTTTTTATACAGTTTCAACCCATTTTTTAAGCGAATTTCAGCCTTTTTTTGAGTGGTTTCGAAATTACTCAATTTTTATGTTTTTTTCACAGCAAAACAAATGCGGTACTCTAACAAACCTTTTCAAGAAAAAATATGCATGCAAAAACTAATTATTTGTGTGCATAATGTAGTCCTGCTGGATAGACAAAAAAATTCTAAGACCTAAGACAATTCAGGTCGTTTTCAAAATATTAAATTTGCAAGACGGTGAAACCTTTGGTTTTCTACTTTTGAAAAATCAGATTCAAAATCACATTTTTTTGGTTTATGGAATAAGATTATTCATACACTTTCTATTGGTGAAAAAATTACTTGTCATCAACCTTTCATAAGTTTTCTGTTCGTTTGGAACTGCATGAAACGTTTATGATTATTACGCTTGCGATAGGCAAGCGTTATCAAACTGGAATGTAGACTTTTTTCTAGTCAACAACTAGTTTAACAAAATAAGTTGAATAACTTGACAAGCTCAATGCTCTTCACTTGACATGCTCAATTTCATGAAAACTCAAATTTAACTACTGACTGAGTACTATTTATTACAGGGTAGTTTCAGGAGGGACTTGGAACTTTAAAAAAAAATTACTTAAAGAGTTTTTCCGCTCAATTAGTGTCTGCTTAAAGATTGTCAGCCTTCGGTTCGTAAACTTTGCCTTGTTGCTAATTTGAGTTTCGAATGTCTTGATTGGCATGTTTGCCTTGAATTCTTGTTTGACTTAAAATGAAAGGGTTTTCTATTTTCTTTTTTTTAAGACGCTTCCAAAATTTTTACAATCATTTGCAAAAAAAAAAACGTTTTTATACCGAGTTTCAAAAAAGTGTACACTTGGAAAAAACGCCTACATTCTTGTGTGCCTGCCAACTCACCTGGTCTCCTTTTGCTTTCCCCTTTTGTCTACAGCCTTCGAAAGTGTCTGTGGGGGGAAAATTTGACTAAGATTTTTTTTGTTATATCAAAAACTAACCTACCAACTCTGATATTTAGGTTTTAATAAATCGAATGGAATTGGAAAGTTCCCGTCAAGAAGCAGTTTTTCCCTAAACTTTTTGTACATAAAATATGGTCCGCGGAATAGTCAAATTTTCCATTTTTTACTCATTTTTTAAATTTTTTTCCAGTTTTTCTCAAAAACTAACACCACAAACCTGAAGTTGTGGGTTCAAGGGAGATAACGGATAGTGGGAAATTTCCCTGCATTAACGATTACATTCAAAAAACTTTACACAAAAAGTTATTGTCCTCGGAAAGGTCAGTTTTTTGTTTTTTTGATCCTGTGTTTTCAAAGTTTGTTGACTTTAACCAAAAATACCCTTCTATATCTGAGATTTTGGGTTCAATCCGAAAAACGCGCAGTGGGAAGCTCCACTGCATACGCGATTACGCCTAAATCGTTCATACAAAAAACTATGATTTTGTGACCGTTTTTTAAAACTTTTTGATCTTTCTCAAATACTAATCGGTCAAACTTAGGTTTTGGGTTCAGTCTAAAGATCAGATTGGAAGATACTCTTCTACAAAAGCAGCCACGCCCAATATTTTTAAAGAAATGTCATCTCTCTGATTTGTTGACCGTTTTTTTGGTCCTTTCTCGATAAGCATCCTGCCAAAAATGATATCATAGCTTTAATCGACTTAACAGTTTGTTGGAAACAAGTGAAAGTTTTGAAAATTGGACCGTTTTCTGGAAGTTTTTTCTACTTGACTTGATTATTACTTGCCATTTCTCAGGTTAAGTTTTCAATCGAGAAACAGTTTTTGGTAATCTTCCCTCCTTCACCGGCCACGACCTGCGTTTAGCAGAAAAACTTCATGATTTTTTTTTAATTTTGACTGTTTTAAAGAAATTTTGTTTTCAATTGACTTAAAAACTATCCTATCAAATCTGAGAGTAAAATTCCAACGCGATTTTTTGGTCAACAATTTCCAAAGAGTGCCTAAAAACGCGTTTTTTTGTTTTTTTTTCAAAATTTTGCCTGCGGCGTAGAAAATTTGGCTAAAACCGTGCTTAGGGAGAGCTCGAAAAATCAATTCGGTCGACCTGAAAAAAAGGTCCCAAAATTTTTTTAAAAATCCCCCCCCTCGAGAAAATCCTAGATCCGCCCATGGTTTTGGGCAAGGTCTAAATGCCTTGTATTTCTAGAGATTCGTGTCCATAGTTAGGCGGTTATTTTACAAAATTAGGCATAGCTTACATGATCCTAAATTACTAACGTGCCAATTAGGCCTCTTTCTTAAAACAACTTGTTTTGTTAGGATAATGAAGACTAACACACAGGACTAGGCTGGCATTGGTGCACTAAAAAGGTATTTTATTAGGAACAATGTTATTTTTGAACAACTGGTCTGACATTTGGAGCTGGCGGCGTTGAGGTGTAGGATGAATAAGATAGAGAACAGGAGGATGAAGAAGCCAGGCAGTATGAAGTAGAGCAGGTAGATCTGCACATTGAGATACACAAACAGAGCCAACTCCGGCACCAGCTTGCCAAACTGCATCACCCAAAACACCCAAACATACAATACTCCAATCTTGAACGCCATTCTAATACCCTTTTAAATCTCGCAAACAAAAACTGAAAAACAAGCTATCTTTTGCAGATTAGCAGTAACTATTCGTCTTTGAAGTGCTTAGTATCAGACAATCCGTCGTGCAATTAAATCTTAGGACTGGAAACAATTTTAAAAGACCAACACAAAATTCTTCTTACCAAGAAACTCTCTTATTAGTTATACCAACCAAAAAAAATCTCAGCTAAATTTGACAACTCGAGCGCAAGAAATGAACAAAGAAAACAAAAGAGCACAACACATCAAACTGAGCACAACAGAACCCAGATAAAACACCCCAATATCTCGCCAGATTTTCCCAATTAAATCGTAAAGATACCTAGAATTGATATTAAGTATTTTTTTAAAGAAAAGTGAAGAGTTGCATTGCCTCAAGGACACACTCCCCCTCCACTGCTCTGTAGAAAAATAAGAATGGCAGTTGGGACACCCACGTGAACAACACCACCCCCCAGCTGCACATCCACACCTGCTTCCGAGTCCACGTGCGGTGGTAGAAGATAGGGTGGCCCACTGCATCAACACCACTTTTTTCAAAGTCCACTACTTTTGCACTTTTTGTTTGATAGTATTATTTATCTTGTTTTCTCAAGTTTTTCGATTTCTTATTTTTATGTATTATTTTTCAGAACATTTTTTTTCGAGGTTAGAAATGTTGTGTTGTCATCATGGGTGTATTCAAAAATGTTTTGTACAATTCTATCGCCAAAGACTTTATTTACCCAAAAAAAGGATGCCTCGAGATCTACTAAGGCCTTTGCTAGCCTAATTTACTTTTTAAAATCATCATTTTTTGATTTATATGCGTTTGTAAGTGTCTTGAAAACCAATTTTTCCCCAGCATTGAGTATTCGGAAAAAACTTTTGCAAATTAGTGGATTAGTACTAATATGAAAAAGAGAAAACAGCCCTGAAATGTATCGGTTGAGACAGATCAACACGACATGCCAATTGGCCGAATGGTTGACGAGCCAATCGAAGCAGCCGAAGAACTTGCAGGCCAGTTCGGGATAGGGTCCAGCAGTGTAGATGTTGAAGTTGAAGAGAGATTTGAGCAGCATGTCGAATACTGCATCCACCACCAGAGCAAGCGAGTTCCAAAACGCCAGCAGTTGCACCGAAAGACCTGGAGAACAAAAGGAAAAATCATAAGTAACTAATAAACTAATTTAGAAAACTAGAAGAGGCTGCTGTACAAGCATGGAACCAGTTCCAAACTAGTATTTATAAACCAATTATATTATTGATGGATTATCACTATAAAATATTTGTAACTAACCAATCATGTTCGATCTCTAACATTGACACTTATTTGTTACAAGTGCTGGTTTATACAAGTAGTATCAGCACCAGAACAATTTGAATAAAACTTTGAATACATTTGTTCTCCTTCTGGATGAACTCCAAGAACTAACTCGCAGAAACCAGTATGCACTAGATCTTCTGAGACTAGGAGATATAACAGTAAGATTATGATCGGTATTAGACTAAGAAGATGCACGAATATATCCGCTCGAAAATAAGATAGCATGACGAGCAGACAGTGTGCCTTATCTGAAATTACTCTATGAGTATAACCAATAGGTCATAACTCAAATAGCACAGAATTTTCCGACCTCTTGTTAAACGTTTGCTAAGAAAGTAGAAAATGAAAAAGGAACTTGGAATTTATAAGAAGAAACTGGAATTAGAAGAAATTCTATCGAGTAAAAAGACTACGAACAAAGCAATCTCGCATCTACCGACGGATCCAATAAATTTAATTGTAACTCGCACAGTTTATTTGAATTTACTCACAGCACATTTCAACAGGGATTTTGGATCGCATGGGCACGCAAGCAGCTGAAAAACACCATTCGGCAATGTATACCACGAGGCCGCATGCAAAAAGAACGATCAGTGGTAGCTTTTTGTGTATACAACGTCAATTATGAGGCAGATCTATGATATCTATAAGATAAGTAATCAGAGACTTAGCGCTTCGGTGAAGTTGCCAAAAAGAAAAAACAAAACAGTTGATAATATTAAATGGCATTTCAAGTCTAAAAAATAATACTATTTCGTTGTTTAATTGGTAAACTAATTGTTGAAGATTCACAACTTAGAAATTTTTCTTATTCGATAAAATCTTTTGTGAGTGGCCTGAAAATGAAAAAATCGTAGTAAGAATTTGGTCAATCCATTCAAAATTTCACAACTTTTTCTTCATTCTAAAATTCATTTTTGTTCACATTCTCGTCGTAATTTAGTCAGGTTGACACAATAACTAGACCAAATGACTTTATCAAATACCTGCAGAGCAATTCATTATTAGTTGATACTCACACTAATTGTTCATTTTGTCCGCAAAGCGGTTTGGATGCCCCACCGAAATTCTCCGTCAATAATCAAGACTTTAATTTAGAAAAACGAAAATTCATATCATAATTCATAATGGGGGGGGGGGGGGGGGGATGGCCGGACGCCTTTCTCTGCAGGGATTCGGGGATTTGACCCCCTGCCGACCCAAAGGCCCCCCCCCTTTGTACTATTTGGGATATTCATTTTTAGTTGACGGACTCAAAAATTTTTCTACATGCGCTTTTGGCGCCAATATATACTAATTTTTAGAGGGGAGCGTGCGCCGAAAAAAAAAGTGACTTTTTAGTCAAAAGTTTCCAAAATTGCCTGAAAATACCTTTTTTTTTTCAAAATTGCCTAAAAATACCTTTTTCAAATCATAGATTTAGTAGGTCAAAATTTTCGAGTTGAATACTTTTTTTTGCCCATTAGGAAGTTTGGAAATATAATTTGTTTTTCTTTACAATACCAATGTAATTTTCTCGCGATATAATTGCATTATAATCTATTGTTCTTTCTTCTTATAATCCGAAGAAGTTTTTTGTTCTTTTGCGCTAAAACCGCAAAGCAAAGCTTTATTTTCTGCCTTTCTCGTACCTCGACAAACTGTATATCCGAAAGACTAAAACCAAAACTCTATTTCATCTTATATGTAACCAAATGATAAGAATAGATTGAATAGTAATGTCATGACAAAATTACGAAAAAAAACTATCGACTTAAGTCTTACGTGAGTTGACAAGAAAGTGAGAGAGCAATTTTAGCAACAAAGTTGGCAGAGAATAGAGAGTTTGTTGTTGTTGTAGCTACTTCAGTCTCTGCTTCGAACTTCTGATTGATTGGGAGAGATCGTTTATGTTTGAGATAGATAGATAGAGAGAGAGAGAGAACGAAAATTTTCAATTACATTCAATTTTCGTCTTGTCAAAAATATCATTGCAGTTCCCCAAGGTTCTCTAGCGTCGAATCCTGCGTAGAAGGGAAGCCAACTGTTCCACTGATAGCGTCTTTCGGCTGGCGTAGACACCTTTTATCTGTTCAACTCGCTCAACAGGGAGAATAGATGTGGTGAAGAAATACCCATTCTGGGGACCAAGTTTTTCGTTTTCAGCGTACGGGGAACTGAGTGAAACTTCATGCCCGATTTAAGCGGGCTGTTTTTATAAAGTGCGGAGAACCGAGATAACGTCTGGTTTTGTGAGGTTGTGTCTTTGGCAGCTTCTTCGGAGTTCTACCATGAGCTCTCAATGGCATGGGAGGTAGGGTGTACCCAGTAACTAAAAAGATGTTTGGTGGTGTGTGGTCAAATGTAACATCATGTGCAGACGTCGGGTATGATGATGTTATTCAGTGTGGGACGGTAATCTTTTAGGAGTTTTGGTGGCTGTTGGTGCTATATAACAGCTTGGGAAGACTTCGGTTATCTTGTTGCTTAGTATGTGATGGAGTACCCGGATCTAAGTTATGAGAGTGTGCATCTGGCTTTCCGGTCAAGTTTATTTTCATTTGCTGATAAAATTGGTGGTATTTTGCCAAGAAGCTTAGATTTTGTTCTAAGAAGATTCTGTATTTTTTAGATTCTATACTTCTAAGAAGATATTTAACCCGTGATTATCGATCATGAGATTATCTGATCATTTGACCAATTCGGAATTTTAAACGCGCAATATATTTCGTGCTAGTAACGCGTGAGTGGAGATTTTGTCCATTTAGAAACTGTTCCAAACTGAGTTGAGGCGTGTTGTTAAAGTAATATTAGGGTAATATTCTTAGGGTGCTATTTGGGGCGTACCAGGCTAGTATGGTCTATTCAGGATCCTGCTCTATGCAACAAAAAACATGACTGTGTACTTGACATAGCGGACTGAGTTAAATATCAAAAATATCTCAAATTTGTTTTGAAACGTTTCACTTATTTTTGAAAACTCTATCAATTACTTTAAGCAAACACACAACTTTAAGCAATACACACTACAATAGAGACCTAAATTATCAGTCGGAGTTTTTAGGGCTGTACTCTGATACGAGCAGTCTTCTTGAGTTCTTGGTAGGGATCGAAAATGTGAACATTTCTAAATTGGCTTGAAAAATTTTAAAATATTTTTTATTTGCAAAAAACTCTAAAGTTTGCATATAAAGTTTTTATAAAACTCAATTTAACGTTATAGTTATTTTCAGTCTAACTGTAGTGACAACTTTGATAAATAGTTTCAGGGAAGAGCCGTTAACTGAGGGCACGTCGAAAGCTCTGTGCCTTAAACAAACTGTCACTTCATACTATTTGTTGTTAGTAGTATAAAAGAATGGATTAGCGTGAGTATATGAACCTTCGCGATTTACTAGATGAAATAAAGATAAGTTCTTTGAAAACAATTTTTCCAAAATGAGTTACAGACTCGGAACAGAAAAACGAAGCTATTATCTCGCTATCAAACAAGGGGGATAAACTGGAGCAACGGCTTTCTGATCAAGAACGCTACACCTCAACTGACTGTGTAATTGCCAAAAATTTGCATTTTTCACGAGATGGCACATCTTTGGATTCACATGTTTCTAAATTCTTTAAAGTTTTTTTGCTTTTTTTACGGCAATTTTGTCCGGAGAATTATGTTGCTTGTCATCAGTTGACAAAGGAAAGGAATAATTTTTTTGCTCCTCTAATAATAGTCCAGTTCAGATAATTTGGTGAGAAAAATGAAGAAAACCGGCAAAATCATGGCTCCCCAGCAAAATGAAATTGACGAAAAAACGACTTCTTGTTATGCATTATGCACGTGGGCTGGGTTTGATAGTAACTAACGCATAAATTCCAAGTCAAAGTATTCACTAAAATTTTGAACAAAAATTAAGGAGTTATCATAATAACCTTGCAATGCAGTTGATGATATACGCAATAAAACCATAAAAGAGTCCAGAAGAGCGTCGACATAATTCGAAGAAAAGGTAACAAAAGCAATCACCCCAGTAATTCGATCTAGCACATTGATTGATCCAGATGAAAAAAGCTAAATTTTAAAGCGTCTGAGAGATTCAACCGGAGACAGTGTAGCTACTAGATTGCCCAGTGCGTTACAAGATATGCGCACGAAGGCGAAGGCACAAAACACTCGTGATGAAAATCATTCAGATTTAGGAAAATTTTGTCGCTAGGCACTACACATTGAACAACGACACAGTAATGCTGCAAATTACATGTACCTCAAACAATTCCTTTGTTTTTTGGCAATAACTTTTATATAGAAAACCTTTTTTCGAGAGATAAAAAAGGACTGATCTAGACGATGAACTACTTTTTTTGGTCACTTAGATGTCATCAAGAACAATAAATAGTAGAAATTGAAAACTTGGGCAAAAACCTGCCTTAACAGCATGATGTGAAATTTGGCTGACTGATACTGATCAGCCGGACCTCTGTTTCGTGGAGGGATAACAGCCTATTATATGTATTAAAAGACGCGGAAAAACGGGTCGAAAACTGTCGTGCCTTGTCAGAAATGGTTTAACTAAGGAGTCAGAAACACACTTAAGTGAAAACGAAAACAAAGTTTCATCGGTTTTTGACGGTAGAAAAAAGAAATTTTTCAAATCTCGGTAGACCACCATCAACATTTTTTTCTAATTTTCTGTGAAGTCTCGACCGACTTTCAAATTAAGAACTGCTGGAAAACTAATATTTTTCTTTGTAGGGTTTTGAATGTGAAAAGTATTTTGAATACTAACTCTGGAAAGATAGCAGAATGTAATCACGTTCTGAATTGTTTCAATTTTGCGGCACAAACTTGTTCATGCACAAAAAGCAAAAAAATAAACTTAAAAAGAGCTCTTTTCCAGTTTCCCCCTTTGAAAATACCGAGTTTTATGTTTGTTTTACGTGTTATTACGGCTAAACGCGTGATGTTACGCTGTAAGGTATGAAGAACAAATCTGTTCAGAATTGTTGATTTGTTCACCACGCCAAATTTCATTGCATTGTGACAATGTTAAATAGACTTTTCAAAATTGAATTTGAAAGGGGGAACTGGAAAAGAGCCTTAAAAAGTTCTGAAAATTTTTAAATCACATGTGGTGTACGACAAGGCTCTGTTTTAGGATCCTAGCATATGTTTTGATACGACATGAAAAGCTATGATTTGATATGATATGATAAAATTACGATATGAGATGATTCCAAATTGGGGGGAGCGGTGGTCAAGTGGTTACGTATCCGCCTCTCAAGCGAAAGGTCGGATGATCGAGGCCCATAATGATCGTGCTCGTTTCTTCAGGGTGAAAAAATTTTGAAAAAAAGTTTGGCTCTGTTTCGCAACAAAACTCAGACACTTTACATAAACGAAACTCCAGATCGTTTTGACCTGATAAATAAAATGTGAACGTAAAACACCTTACTTCTTCTCACCAACTTTATGTATGGTTATCCAGGGCAACTCTCTTTCGCTCTTGATTTGTCCTTGTGTGGTTTGTTTTTATACATCGTTTGTTTTAGTATAAACATACCAAAACGAATTCAACCCAGGTCGAGGTGCTCACTTTATGTTTCGACTTTTGAACTTTTGAGCGCACATGTCATTGCTAGACCGAAAAGAATAGTCGAGACAGGGGTTTCAGTCGAGCACAAACTTGAAACATACCGGGGTTGACCTCCATACACCGAAAATGCTTACCATACAATTCCATACAACAAAAATCATTATCATACAATTCCATACATCAATTGTATGGAGAAAATGGTTGTCATACAATTTTCATACATTTTCGAAAAACAATAGAAAAAATGAAACCATTTCTGCGGCTTTTTGAGAACAGTTGAACAGACTGGTGACAGAAACAACTGATTTTAATTTTTTTTTTTTGAAAAAAATGCTCACCGAACAAATTTCATATACGACACACAAATCGAGCACAAATCGAATTTTGTACGCAAACAAATGATAAGCATTTTTGGTCAACCCGGGTACCTGTAGCACGGTCGAGCACGGTTGAGATCCTTCGAAAAATAGAGGTTGTCCCACAGTAACTCGGAGTCAATAAGGTAAAATTCTTTCAAATACCAATACATTTTTTAACATTTCTGACTCAAATTGCAGAGCCGTATTCCAAAAATTGAATGAAAAATAGCTCAAAAATAATTCATTTCTATAGAGCATTTAAATTGCCAATAATTCTAATCATTTCACTCTCATAAGATGTTACCCGAGAAGCATTAATTATAACGTTTAAATTCGGATAAATTTTGTTGCTTGAAAGTAGGAATAAAACCGAACTCAGTCGAACACGGTCGAAACATATCTTGCTTGGGTCGAGCTCGAAAAGCACAAATTTAATCGGTCGAGCACGGTCGAAACAAATGTGGGCTGGGTAGAGCACGGTCGAGCACATTTATCTCGGTCGAGCACGGTTTAATCACATCGATTTTGGTCGAGACGGTCGAAGCATACCAGTTTTTGGTCGAACAGTAAAAAAAACCGAGTTCTGGTCGAGACGTTCGAAACATAACGATTGTTGGTCGAGGCGGTCGAAACATTTAGTGAGCACCTCGACCCGGGAAAATAAAAAATATTTTCACAACTTTCTTTCGGTCGCGACGGCTGCGGTTTACTTTTCTTCGGTTGCGCCGATTGCAGTTGATTTTTTTCAGGTGCGCCAATTGGGGTTAACTTTCCTTCGGTCTCGCCGGCCTCGGTCCGTAAATTTTGGAAGAAATAAAAATTTGAAGAAATAAAAATTTTGCTAAAGAAAAAAAACTTCGTTTTTTTAAAATCAGCAAAAAAATCTGGTATACTCTGAATAAAACCTCTGAAACAACTGCTCTGATTGGATGGTTCATCGATCGAAGACCGAAACAATCTGCGCCGAAAAACGTAAGCTGGCGAAATTGACTGAGATGCAAGCAGAAAAAAATCCAAACAGACCATCACTAGTATCGAGGGAATGCCATTCGAACAGTAAACAGGAGGAAGGAGATTCGGAGACGCAGAGCGAGAGTTCGGGAACCCGAAAAAATTTGAGGCAACGCAAACCTATGGACAAAATGGGAGGGGTGATGAGTGACTCCATTACTAAAGAAAATCCAAGGGGTGGAGAAAAGTTGAAGAATCCAAGTCAAAACTTTCAAAATTTGTAACCCAGGTAGAGGAATGGCCATACGCCTAACACTCAAAACTGTTTCAGTGTCGCTCATTATTATATCAAATTTAAATTACTATGTATTTAATTTTTACTTCCGTAGGGAAATGTGAGGGGCTTTATTTGGACTATTTAGACGTCGATCATTTCAGTTGATATCTATAACTATTTATATTCTTGATTGTTTTTCATATCACTACTAAGTGTGAGCAGGTACCTGCCTGTCAATCAATCTAGGTTTGTCTAGATGTTGACCTCTAATTCAGTGTCTGAATTATATGTTGAAGAAACAAGTTGAATTTACGCTTAACAAAAGAATAGCTTAACAAAAGTATAATTTTATTAACCCTTGTTAAGTGTTGAAACGTTCAACAAGACTTTAGGTCGTATGAAAGAGTGTGGGTATTTTTTTGCGACTACTTAAATACTTGGAAGAGAGTTCGCCGATGATTCAGTCACCTGCAGGGCAGGAGAGCTTAACAGAGAAAACAATCAAGAGATAAGTTCAAATGAAGCCCGAAAAGGTCCAATAATTGTTTCAAATAGCCCAATTAGCACTTTGAAGTTATTTTGAATTGAGATCAAACCACTCTCCCAATCTTTGAATATTCAGTGATGGACAACAGCCAATCCGAAACTGCCGTTGACATAATGATGGATAAGATTTTTTTTTAAAAAATGTTATTTACAACCCTCAAATGAAATTGTCAGCTGCTGGATTCATGATTTGATTTACATGTGTACTCACTTTGAATCGTTTTCATTTGCGTGTTTTATTGAGCAGCAAAATTGGTTAGCAACTCATACGTGTTCTTTCTCTTCGCCATATTTTGAGCACATGTTCTTGCAAGATTTAGCCTCAGTGCCAACTACAAAGGGTCGAGATCAAATTCGTGAATAGGGCTAAGAAAAACAAACTGAATGGGAAAAATTATCATCTTTTCATTTTGTGTATCATTGTTTCTCGATAGTCAACAATTGGCAGCCCTCGCAATAGCGGCCGAGAAAACTCTTTTCTTATTCACGGTGAGATTGGTATGAGGTAAAACTCCTTGCGGTTTGCAACAGGCGGGACCTTTTTATTCTCATTTCGATTTAGAAAAATAACCCCCTCCACCCTATGTTAGACTGAGTAAAAGTCTTATCCTAGTTTCGGAATTTAGCCGCGCTGAATCAAATTCTCATGTTCCAAACAAGACTTTCTTTAGTTTTTTTATTATTAAAAGTTTAATTGATTAGTTTTGTTAAGGCTGAATTCGACACTTATGGTCGAAGGAGACATCATTCGAAAGGCTGATAAGTCTATTTGATGGATCTCCCAGCCTGTTGCTACCTTCATGGAAAATCGAAAACAAGTTTATTACTTATTTTACCTGATGCACTTTTGTTGCCGCCTAGTCTGGCTACGATCGAAATTGTGAACAGGTTGAACACTATTCCGAATACGCCGACAGGGCCAAAGTATGTCCGGATCCACGCCAGTGTCATCGGGTCACTGCTGCTGAAATTTTTGCCGACAGCAGAATCTTCAGTCGTGGAAATGTCGCTAAAGTTTGTCATATTTAACGTTTTAGCATTTGTTGTCGGTTTCACCATTTGCAGTAAAAAAACGAAAACAATCTTTATGGCAAAAAGAATCAAAAATGGGCTGGAAAATTCAGTCAAAAGCGTTTTTGAAAAAAGATATTTCAACAAAGAATAAAAAAACAATATGGATGGCAGAAAAATAACATAAACTCAGTTTTCAAAGAATTTTTTTACTCGATAATAATAATTGGTCCCACGCCAATTTACCAACTACTTGTTGACTATATTATAGTCAATACGATTCCCCATATTCTCTCGAGACTTTAACAGTTTGATTGTTTCATTCCTTGTCAAATATTTAGATTGAAAGGCAACAAGACTGCTCGTAATCAGGGCAAAGCCCTGAAAATTCCGACTGTCCCTTTGTTCATATCGAATAGTTTTTGGGAAAATAAAATATTGAAAACCGATACATTTTGGACAAAATCAAATTGTAAAAGTTTGAGTCGTACGAAATTAATACGACCGATTAGCTAGCCTCAATTCAACTTGGAACGATTTTGTTATGCGGGATAATTCGCCACGCATAAATAATTCGTGTTACGCTTTCAGCATTATCAAAAAACTCTTCAAAGCAGGCATAATTTAGTCCATGACATGGCAAATTTGGCAGTTTACAAACCCCCAGAACTTTACAAAAAATAATCTGAGATGAGATATGTTTTTATATTTGAACTCAGGAAGTCGATATCTTCAATGGAATGTAAAACACTTCTAGTGAAAATTATTATTTTGATCGGTGAAAATTGACTGAATAAAAAAACCACACCGACAATAACTATTCCGTTTTTTTTCGAAAGCCGGAACAACAAGACTGTTCGTATGAGGGCAAAGCCATGAATTTTCCGACTGACTTTTCAGGTCTATGGAGTAATAATAACATGGAATAAGTAATTGTCAAAAAAATGAACATTTTTTTTAATTTGAGATTTTTTGTGAAAATCGTCCCCCACACGCCATATAAAGTATAAAGTGATATATTTCGCCCCTACTATAAATCAATTGCGGCAAATAGCCTGCTTCAACCAATTTGGAACGATTTCTAAAACGGACTAAATCTCCGCTTACGCGTTAATAGCGCTAAGAGTATCGCGCGTTACTTGTCCCAAATTGGCCGGAATGGCAGTCTTTAAACCCCCATAACTCTACAAAAAATGATCACTGGTAAAATATCTTTCAAATTTGAGCTCAGGACAACAATACCTTTTGAACGAATTTTTAAAATTTCTGTCGAAAATGGCTACTGAAAAAGTCGAATTTTCCTGAAGAAAAAAAACCCGAACACAAATATTCCGTTACTTTCGTTTAAAATAGACGGAAGAATGACACAAACAATTATGTCGCCGCTGATTCTCGCAATTTAAGTGATCTAGTTGTTTTATCGGTGGTATATAAACCAGCCGATGTATAAACCAGCTACCATTTAAACCAGCCGAAAATGCGTAATTGCTATATAATAGATAAGTAAAAATTATCCCTGGTTGCCCACCGTGAAGAAAATGGGAACAATACACATCCTTGCATGATTTGTGTGGAAAATGGCTAATCAAGCGTCGCACAAATTCTTTTTTCAGCGACTCTTAAAACAACTATTTGAATGATTAAATCAGTTTTAAAACAGTTTCTTACCATTCTGGATTTTTTGGAAAATTTTCACCACCCAAATCATACAACATATATATGCTACTTGTGCAAGTGTTGTTTCCATGTATTTGCTTTTATATTAAGAAAAAAGAGAATATAATCGAATAGACACCACCAAAGTAAAACTTTTTTTATCAGAACAAAACACGCGTTAAGAAATTGTTGAAGTTTTTCACTATGCGAACCATACGCCGCATCATAAATAGTGCTATTTACAAAAAATAACTTTATTAGAGCATGCGAAATCACAACCAACACCGTAAAAACTTTGTTGATTATCGGGGTTTACTTGCATTTTCAAATATTGACAAAAAATTGAGTACAGATTGGTAAAAACGTAACCACACGACGCTTCATATATGTTTCCATGGTAACCATACGTCGCGCCATGAAGATACCATGGTAATCATACCTTGCAAACATCCATGGTGACATATATATTCTCAACAGCCCTGGTAAAAGTAAAATTATCAATATTGTCTAATTTTAAGTCCCCCATAATAAAAAAAATGTGCAACCATACGTCGCGCCATGCATGGGCAACGTGCTGTTTTAACATATAAGGTTTTGGTCAAACCGGGATATAACAGATACGAAAATTAAGCCAATTTGATCCATATCACGTAACTTTTTGGCTGGCTTATATACACTGCGCATTTCTGGTTGGTTTATACTTCGCCTGATTTATTCACACTTGTTTTATCTTAAAAACTTTTAGTTACTTTAAAAACATCCGTCTTTATGTGAGACCACTTCAAATTTTTATTGCATTTCATTGACACAAGAATGATTTAACTACCCAGACAAAAAGCATAAGACTTGAAACTAAAATCAAGTTTTTCTCAATTTAGGAAAGCTTGATTTTCATATAGGACTCTTGAAGCTTCGAGATGGGAATCTTGAAGCCCCGCGCCTTTTCGCAGAAGCAAATCGGACACTAGACAAACAGTAGTCGAAAATAAAGATCTACTATTATGTTGATGGAAATTTAGCCGAACTTTAACTTTATAAGATAGTAACCCAGGTTTTTGAAGCATTCTGAAATCGGAACAACTTAGCAACTTGCGCTTGAACACACTGAAAAGTGGTAACTTTGTTTTTAGGCGCAATCACGAGTATACAGTAAAATTTAATTTTAACACAGATTCGAAAAAAAAACCCAAAATAAAAATGAAATCAAAAGAACAAGTTCTGATACTAGGGTCTACATTTTGCAATTTTTGTTGTTGAATTGATCGACAAAAACCTTAGGAGCTTGGAAAAAGCTCGATGGTCATTGAAAAACTAGGCAAACCTTACACGTTTTACCTGTTTTTTGCAAGTTCACTTTTTGTGTTGCTACGATAGAATACTAAGAAACTCGTTATGCAAAATCATTAGTTTGCAAAACAAGGATAACCAGTTTCTTAATGCAGTTCTCTCGACAGCGAGAGGTGGCTTGTTTGTTTCTTCCGTTCGTCTACTTGCTTTACTCGCTTTCTTAGCCTCATCGGTAGTTGCGAAAAAAGACTTAAGCAAAAGTTTTGGTGTGGAGAATGATGATGAAACCTAAAATGATGCGATATAAAGGTTGGTGTGACTTTGGAAAAACTGAAATTGCTCCGGAAAACGAAGTCCGAGAAATAAACAGAGCCAATTTTTGACAGTCTAGTTGTAAGCTTGATTATAGGACTCGAACCGTCGGACGTTTGAATTTTCTCTAAGTTTCAAGATAGATTTGTTTTGGAATGGTTGAACGTCATCCCATGCAAATATCGAAAAAAAAACTATCGGACCAACAAGTTAGAACCGCGATAGGGCTTCGATTAGGCTCTATAATTTGGGAACGGCGTAAATATGTGTAAGGAGAAAAGGTTTCCGTAGATTGCCTTAAGAGTATGGAGAGTTTCTCTAGACGGTTTTACGCTCGATCCATAAGCTGCTGGTAGCAGCTCTCGTGGGATGCATCAGTAGTAGACACCCTAGGACCCAGTGAGTTTAGTGCGGGTCGGTTTGTAACCCTGGTACGGCTTTCGCTAAAGCGAAAGAGCAAAAAAATGACAAGGGTAAAGTCTTAGTGGGTGATGAATATCTTTTTCAACTGCTAATTTTTGAGATTTACGGCGCGGCCGGCCCCAGCAGCACGGAATTGTTTTGACAAGCTTCGTAAGAGCCTTTATATAAGTACTGCGGAATTCAAGGCGGGCAGTTTCCTAAAACAAAAAAATCTCCCTGGCTATACAGATTGATAACTCCGTATACGTACTCCGCACAAAAAATAGCAAAACAACTTTCGACGAAAGGTTTTATTCGTATAACATACTAAAAATTTACATATATATCTATAAATATTTTTTTCTTGTGTCGAGTTGCGTGTTCTTATTGAAGAAGCGTAACTTGCATCGAGTTTAACTTTAATCGCATCAACAATAATCATCACCTTTTTATTAATATCACAAATATAAATCCATGTGCAAAGGTTTTGCTCATTCCAATTCCTTTCAAAGTAATCCCTCTTGTGTTTAATCAGTTTCTTCCGCAGACACTTTTCGTTAAAAATCTATCACTTTTTGAACAACATTGACTCTGCACTTCATACTTTTTGTCCGGGAAAACAAATCTTCGTCTTTTGATTGTACCACGGTTTTGACTTGGTCCAAACAAGCTGATGCAGTTGTGTTGAAGTCAACGTAATATTTTAAAATACTATCAGTCATTAAGTTGATAATGTGACTCTGATAGTCGTTAGAAGATTGGTAGTTGTCCCAGTTATTTCATCCACGTTGAAGTCTCCAGTGGGGATAAGGTCATCAAGACATAAATGCTTCAGGATACTAAAATTGTTTCGTGTTCCAGCAACAGTTGATACTTACATTACTTTGGTGGATTGCAAAGTACTGCTACATGGCACGGCTTACAGGTGTCGACTCTGATCATTCCTAGTGATGTTTAACCACTTATGAGTAAGCAGCTGAGATTAATTTCTGTGTAAACTTTTTCATTTCTGACAGCAATTAAAGCTCCGCAGTGTGTTGAAATATTTTTTTAGGTTGCCGATTGACTCTGTCAATGCTGAAGTCTGGGAGGAACAATGGAGTTTTTTAACATCAAATGTCAGCCATGTTTCAGTCAGTAGTTTTATGTCGTAGTTTGGCTGATCGATGAAATCGACTAGTCAGTTTCTCTTTAAAAGGTCAAACAGGCTGCGAAAATTATAGGAAAAGATTTTTAAGCGGCCGAAGTCAGCAGTTTTCCATAGGTGAAGACTCTCTTTTCAGGGATCGCTGCATCTTAAGCTGCGACGCACTGCCTATAACAGTGTATCATAACTTTGTGGCTTCCTCTCCGTCCTTCCGTTTTGCTTCTTTTATCATAGGTTGAATTTTTTCTGAGCTTCTTTTGAG